TTTTTTCAAATCATAGCCTGCCTGAGCTCTGTCAAGATGAGCATCCCTGAGCTCCTCAATCTCTTTGCGTTTAGAATCATCTGTCTCTTCTTTAACACTAGAACTACCGGAGGGGTCAAAATGACCCCTTTCGATTTTAAATTGCCAAATGAACTATGAAATTTTTTTTCTATCGACCCGCCACTTTCTGACTTTTCATGGGTCACCAAAATACGCGTTGACACGAAAAACCAGGCATGTGCGTCAAAAACTGTAGGAGATATTATAACATATACCTCGCTCTACCGAAGGGGTCATTTTGACCCCTGTGTCAGTTTTCGAGGGCTCTGATGGTTTTAACGAGCGGTTTTCAACTTAAACCTTGCCATTGTTGTTCTTTGTGGAAAGTGTTGACTTCCGCTTGGTCGTGTGACTACTTTGAAGCTCTATCAGCATAGGTAGGCAACCCGCACATTACAAAATCATGTTTTTCTTACATAGTACTTGTGAGGCATTCGCAACGGTACTGTCAGCCTGAAAACGCGCTACATGGTCGAACGGAGGTTAAAAATGATAATAAATGGTCTATTACGACTGTTATTGCACGATATTTGTGCACTGTTTTCTCCGCAGAACCAAAGTTTCAGAATTACTTCCAGAATTGGCGGTGTTTACGGTTGTCGGTTAGACTGAAATAAACACAGACTCTGCTAAAATGTTGAGAATTATTGTTTTTGATGGTAATCCTATGCAATTTTCCCAAAACAAAACGAAAAATAACGAAAAGAACTGTAAAACTTCTGAAAAATTACATTTTGTGCTTTGCAGGTTGCCTACCTACCCCTTCACAGGGACCCCTATGGGTGCAATAATTGCTTGAAGTGTTATAAAAACCAAAAATAAGAAGTTGTGTACCCAAAACCGCAGTCTTATCACAGCTAAAACGGCGAAATAGTACATAGGGGTCAAAATGACCCCTCCGGTAGATCTAGGTATACGAAAATCCCGGTAGTTCTAGTGTTAATCATTTGATTCCAGGTATCACACTTTGAGCATGTGTCAGTTGCAGGTTTCTTAAAGGAGCGTCCCAATGTATTAAAAATTCTTTCATATGTTGAGTATGAAACATATTTGTGACCTTCTGAAATGTACATGTTGTACATTTGTCTGATGTCAAGATGGCTAGGCAGGTATCTTGTGTCACCCACTTCACTCCTCTTGTAATGTGATTTATATGAAGGGAAACGCAAAACATGAGTTTTAACTTCATCAATCACATCGGGCTTAAGCTTATGTTTTGGAGCGTGCCGCCCTCTTTTATCCTGAGCCACGGTTCCAGATAGTGATTTAAGCTTTTTCTTGGTTGCAAGGTAAACAAATCCATCTGTCTCACCTAAGGTGTTAAGAAATGTTGATTTGCACACCTGCTTACTTTCGCCATGGATGTGGAAACAGTACTTGTGAGACACTGACTTGGGATGAGATTTCTTATGTCCAGCTGGTAGTCTAGGTCTCTTAGTTTTTACTGGCTTGATTTCAACTCTTGCACAAACATAGGATACCCGCTTCTCATACGACTGCTGATCCCAGTACTCATGGAATATAGAGTCGCCCACATCATCAGTAATTATATCCTGGCAGTAGTTCGTCTTACAGGTGTGAGGTGGCTTCCTTTGCCGAGCAGCACGTACTGGTGTCTTAGAATTTGGATCATGTTTCTCGTACTCTTGACCGGAATTCCTTAAGTATTTTTTCCTAGATCTTTCTTCCCTGCTGCATTTTGCACCCTTCCTCCTCTTCCTGATCTTTTTCTGTGGAACAGTGGGCCTCTCATCGTCAGAGTCATCCATTTCAGCGATTTCCAGATTACGGCTTTTAGAAGAATGAGTTTTTCTGTTGAGAACGTCATGGACAGAATGGGAAGAACAATCACTATTGGTGCTGTCACTGCTGGAGCTGGAAGGGTTGTCTACTTTGAAACTATCCTCTGACGTTCCTCCATGAAAAAGACTCTCATCAGAATCAGATATTAAGTCCACACTGCTTGACATGGTGGTTCTCTTTCCTAAAAAGAAAAGACTTTGATTAGTTTTGAAAAAGGTTTAAATGAAAAGACTTCTAAGATTCATTTGCAAATAGAGGTATTGAAAGATTAACAAAGATCACATTAGATAGAGTATGAAAACTACATACTTGAACTTCTCCTTCTCCTTGGTGTGGCTGAGAGATCAGTGGTCGTTGGAATTGTTGGAGTATCACCTTTGTTGGATGGAGCACTCGCTTCAACCAGATCAGTGTTGTTTCCTGAATAGAATTTACACAAAAAATATAAGAAATACAAAAAATCTAACCACAAAACATTAACAAAACAATTCAGTCTAAGTCTCAAAATTGCAACAAATCTATGAGTTCAGATAAAATGTGAAATTTTACTTACTTGTACTTTTGTCTTTGACAGGTGAGGTACAGTTATCAGCGGGGAGAACACTGGAGCAGTGCACGGTTGGAGGCTGGTTGCTTGGTGTCTTCTGCAGTAGTTCTGATAAGAGGAAAATATTTTTTGAAGGTAACATATCCATAATTTATAAGGAAAGTGATTGCAAAGTAAAATAATCAATAGATACATACTTTGGTGAAGTTTCTTTGATGCCAAAATGGGAGCAATAGGACTATCCAGTAATTCAGATGATTTCTTTGTGGTTGATTCTGATTCATCATTTCCATCCATTGATAATAAATTAACAGCTGTAGCAGTCTGGCATTTATTTTGAGGAGAAGAGCATGCTCTTTCCGAAACAATCACAGTTGAAATGTTTCTAGCCCCTGCAAATAAAAATAAAATAAAAATGTATAACCACAAGTAATAGCAAGCACTAAAGAGGCATGGTGTAATATGCTTTTGAAACTCATTAAAACTTATTTCATAAAAGAAAATTTAAATAATAAAGATGGATAGAAATAATGGGTAAAATGACGTACTTGAACTTCTCCTGTATGCTTTGGATGAGGGTTCCGGGTTGGTAAAAGTATGGGGCACTACGTTGGATAGACCGCCAAGTCCAACCAAATCAGTCATACTTCCTGTGAAGCAAAAAGTAAAATAGTTTGAACAGATTTTCCAGGACAAAATGTAAGAAACACAATTTAATCTTGAATGCATCTCAGCTAAAGAAAACTGATTTATATTTAATAATTCAAGATAATAAGTTGAACACGAGATGGTACATCATCTCCTAACATAACAGGATAATCAGAAGAGAAAATTAAAATGTGTGAGCACGCGAAACAGCAAGCATTACAGAAACATGATGTATTCCACAAAAAATTAACTGAAATTGACTCCCTTGCTTACAGTTTGGGGTTCTTCCAAACAGAGGTTAAATTAGATTAGATCAGATTAGATACATAGAACTAGAAATGAAGTGGGTAAAATAACATAATTGAACTTCTCTTGCCTTGTGTGGTTGAAGGACCAGGGATAGGAGTATCACACAAGTTGGATGGAATGCTTGCTTCAGCCAAATCCGTTTTGTTTCCTTTAAAAAGAAAATGGGGAAAGGAGAAATTTGAAAGATAAATATTAAACATGACTTTTTCATACACCTCAGACTGTTTGCTTCTTAGGATTTCAGGTATCAAGTTTAAATGCAATACCGAGAAATATATTGATGATACTAACTTACCCAAACATTTCCTTTTCGCAGAATTTCCACTGGAAATGGATGGAAATGGAACCACATGGTTCTCTTTCTCTGCTTCAGAGATCAGAGCTGAAACACAGGTAATTATTGAAGAATTAGAGAAAATGATCAATTTTAGCAAATACTATTTGATGCAGATGAGAATTTCATTAAGGTACAAATAAATTTACCTATTTGTCTAGGGGGATTGCTGTATCCTAGCCTCTTACTTAAACCATAAAACTGTTTCAGATTACCCTGCCTGAGAACTGCTCTTGCTAAGAATAAAAGAATATGACACTATAAAGATGAAATAAATTTTCATTTTAAGGACGAGTATAAACAGTATGTACAAACCAAATCGACTGCTTGGAGAAGAGATTCGGCCTTCCTCTTCTCTAGTGCGTGTACCTGAAAAAATAAAGTACCTTAAAGATTGCTTTTCAATGAGAATGTACTACAATAACATAAAGTGGTCATGCCGTATTCAAGGTAACTTACAACGAGTGGAGGTGGAGGAGGCTGACGGGGTGTAGGGAACAAGAGGTTGTTTTTTAACTACCTCTTTTTGTGGCAACCCAGGATCAGATGGAGGGGCTGCGAAATAAGAGGTAGCTTTAATTGCATTTCCTCAGAATGGATTGAAGAGACAATTCGACCAATGTCTAAATACATCACTCACCTTCAAGAGTTTGCTGCTCTAACCATGACTGGCATTTACTTTGACTAGATAAGAAGTCAGGGTTGAGGGCAAACATTTCACTCCCCGTGATCGAAGAGACATCATCATCCTCCTCCACTTTGAACCCATTTTCATTTTTTTTGGACGGGGTTCGCATTTCACTTTGGGTGGAGACAACCCCATTTTCACAAACATGTTGTTGGCCCGAGAGGGCCCAGCCCCACCTAGCCCAGGCATGCTGCCCAAAATTCATCTGAAAAAGACACAAAAAAAATACATATTATAGTTGAGACAAAAGAAATGCAGTTTAGAACATCTTACAGAGTATACTGCCTAACCTAACTTCAACAAAAGGTACAGGTAAGCCCCAAAATGACAACAATCCAAAAATGATTAATAGAGTGATCTTAAGAAATTACCTCTGGAGTTAAATCTTAAATTTACTTTGTTAATAGAGTGGAATTGCAAGAGTTGAGGTAACATTTCTGGATGATTCCAACAGATCAAAATTCCTTCCAGTCCATGATGAAATTGAAGCCACTGCTTGGCTTCACAAAATTAGCCCTAAAAATAACCTGCTGAACGAATCTAGAGCAGTTGGCGTACTCAGTTCTATCACTTGAATACATTTTAAAGGTAGATTTTCAGTATCAACACAAGCCAAGAGTGAATAAACAGGCCGGACACCCGTTTGGCTACGTCTGTTGCTATTAACAGCAACCTGTGGAGGTGCACATAACACACTGCCAATAGGCTGTACGTGCGTCCTACGTGAAGGCCCCTCCCCCTTCCTCCCCCCTTGTGCGCGGAGTATAGCCAGAGCAACTAGTCCGTCAATACCCCAAGTGGCAAACCTGGCAAACTCACGGCCAAGAAAACCTCAAAAACATCCAGAAGGAGACATCATATTCACTCAATATAATAAAAAAAGCCTTCGGCATGTATGTAAAATTATATAAGCATGGAAGGTACACACAGAGTTTTAAATTGAATAATTTCATTTACGCTATTCACTGTGGTGAAAATCAAATGGCCATTTTAAAAATTTTAAGAGCATATCAGCAGCACGACAAGTTCAAGAACACACAGCTCATACCAAGCATAACAGTTCCTTGAAAAATCAAAACACTGTTGTTAAGATTAATTTTATAAACACATACTAATAATCCGATGAAACCGATATTCGTCAGAATGACATCATAGATTTGGCAAACAAATCAACGAGCCACAGACCACTGAGTAAGTGTCCGGCCTAACCCAATATTACCCAAAACTTGTCAAAAAGAATTATAAGTGAAGACAATTACATGGGAAATACTGCAGCAAAACCAAAATTTTCTTTCAATGCTAGAATTTAAATGATGAGTCATCACTCGGTGTTCAGGGAAACCTCTGAGTCATTCAACAGAATATTAACCAAAACTCTCTAAACCCCCCCCCAAAAAATATACTAACTAAGGAGACTGCCGGCTGCACAAAACGTACTTTAAGGCTAAGACGACTAGTTAGAAAACCAAACTGGCGAGACATAGAAGACTTCCACTGAACCTCTGAGTAATCCTAACTCCACTTCGCGGTCGCCACTAATTTTTGCTCGATTCACAATTATGTCAAACTGTATCATCACCAACGCAGTCGATCACTGCGCAACGTAGTCTACTTACTCAGAATTAGTCGCCAAATAACTATGGTTTTTTGGTTTGAGTTAGCTTGGACCGGACCTTTAAACTTTAAACCTCCACAAATGGACAACTTGGCTTGGCAACAAAGACGAGAA